CTGCACCACAGTGACTGCGGGGGGGTGTGGTCCAGCCTGCACCACAGTGACTGCGGGGGGGTGTGGTCCAGCCTGCACCACTTGGTCTGCTGTTGCCTCCAATATTTCAGGCAGGGCTGTGGGACACTGGGCACGTCACACAGGAGACCTGGACAGCTGACAGACTCAAGTTGCCAAAATAGGCGCGAAGCGGGATCTCTGGTTACACAGCAACAAATGGCGCTGAGAGAAGCGTGCGTGCGCTCGCCTGGGGCGTCCTGCAGGTGGCAGCGTGGAGGCCAGAATCAGGCGGCAGGTGGCGAGAGTGACCCCGTGTGTGGTCCAGCCCTCCACCCCACAGGGGCACGTTCCTACCTGTGTGTACTCCCTCTCGATGGCAGCCTTCTTCTGACTGTAGGTCCTGCAAGAGGGAGAGACAGAAGACAATAAGGTTCAGGTTACAGGGAAACAAACGCTCAGTACTTTAGGTTCAGCAGCGACACGCTAATTATTCAGTGATACATTCTGCCTGTCTGGCCCTTTGTGCCTGTCCAGGACGCCACAGAGAGGGGGAGCGAGTCACTCCAAAAAAATCTGTTACGTCAATGTTTTTGTCCCGTGAACTCATGTACTCGATGTTCTGATCAGGAGAACACATGTACGGAACCATCAAGAGAGATTTTTAACCAATGAGAAGCATACAGGGTGGAATCAGGCCCATCCCGTAAAAACCCAACACCACTGGAGGACGAGAGACCGGGGGTGGGGCTAGTCTACAAAATGTTGTTGTGACCTGAAATAAGGCCACGAACAGGCATAAGACCCTCTGGGCAGAGCCTGCACTCCGAAGAACACACAGATGTGCATGCAGAGGAAGCGAGAGGGAAAATGACACCATGCATTCCAACCAAGAGCCTCCTCTCTGCTGATTGGGGGACAGAGAGCACACCCACTACCACCTGGGGACCCCCCCTCTAGAGGGAGACAGAGAACAGAGAGATTGGGGGGGGGGGGTGGGGAGTAAAGGAAAGAGAGAGTGAGGCAGGCAAACTCAAGGAGGGTGAGAGAGAGGAAGAGAGAGATATGCAGGGATTTTCCCCTGGTGCCTGAACAGGTATCAACAAGCCTGGATACACAAATAAATACCACTCAGCTCTGCCTCAAGGCTACGCAGAAAGGATGGAAAAACACTCAGGATGAACACGACACCCACGAGATGCACTGCCGTTCTATTCCAGCAAGCCAAGCGTCGCGGCTTAAAGCAGAGACATGCCTGGCTCGGCTGCACTAGCGCCACGTCCCTGATATCACTCTCCGTCGACGTGGGGATGCATCTCAGCTGTCAAAGCCCTGCTTCCTCAAACGGGGAGCTGTCATAGTGACACAACTACAGCTGTCACATGGGACAGGGTCAGGGGCCAACTGGCGTGGGCTTCATTACTCACATGGAGACATCGAACAGCCCTCTCTCCAGAGCTCTACAAACATTTGTGGTTAGAAAAAAACCCGTAAAATATTCATTTATTTCTTTTGGGTGAACTTTAAAACCCCAGCAACTATGTATGAGAACTTTTCAGAAGACTGATGCCAAACAATGACCTACAAGAACAACAGCAATGTTTGCTCATGACAGAGTAAGAGTGAGAGTGAGAGAGATGTGACGAGTATGGTAGGAAGCTGAGACGCATATGAGGGGCTTGAAGGTCCTCGAGCAGGAAACGTGTCATTTGGGACGTCATAGCAATGTGCATCACGGTGATTTGTTATTCTGGTGAGCGAATTTCTCAGCTAATCCTGAAATTGTGCATGCAGTGGGTGGGACGTGGACTTATCACCATGGTGACAGACAGCAGGGCTGTGACTGGTAGCCGGACCATGGAGGTGCATTAATGAAGAGACCAGAGCGAAGGCAGGCAGGCAGGAAGTGACACAGCAGGTGACACGAGATGGCTCTTACTGGAATGACATTTAAACATGTCATTATTCAGATTTTCCCACCACAGAAACTCAAGGACCTGTGCAAGGAGCCCATGACAGCGTGTGATATCCACACGTCAGGCCGATCGCCCATAGGGGGCGTGTCCGTGCGGCTCCGTGCTGGCGTGGCTGATGCCGTCCCGCCACGCGGCTCTTTGTGTCACGTTATCACCACCACTACCAAAGTAACGCCGTCCCGGCTCCGCTGCAAGATTAAACTGCTAAGTCCCCGTTTTCACAAGCGAGATACTGGACACGTCACCTGCTGCACCTAAGTGAAGGACGACCGTCTCTATGTGCCTGATGTAACGGTGGCTGTCACAAGGCCACATTTCCATTTTCTGTGTTTAGTCGACGTTCAGTGGACACAGCAAGATTTTCACCGACCTCCTGGCTTCCGCATCGAAATGATGGTGATCCACATCCGGCCCTGATTTCTGGTCTGACCATCTGACTTTCCCAAATGCTGGCCTCTTGGGGAAGAAGAAAAAAAGAAAAGACGAAGACCGGACGGATGGTTTGAGGTCCACTGTGGAAGAGAAGGATCCGCGGAGGTTCATTGGACCCACCTGTAACCATTACTGGCACAGCTTGTCCCAGAGAGGCCAGAACACTCAACTCCATCCGTGCAATCAACGCTGATCCCGTAGTGACGGGGGGCTTTGCTCCCCTGAGCCCCGGGGTCAAGTGTGGCTTAAGAGGTGCGGGGGGCTCTGCTCTCAGCCCGAGCACACTGTGGGGGGGCGTGCATGCAGCTGCAGCAGACCAGGGGCCTGATCACATTGAAAGACAAACGGGTCCACCTAGGAAGGACGCTTCGGTCCCTCACTCCTCTCCCTTTCTGTCTGTCACTCCCTCGTCTCCCCCCCAGCGGCGGGGGGGAGAAAACAAATCCTCCCTTTGATCTCTGCAGACCCCCATTCCATCCCCTGACCGCTACACTCCTGTCAACAATGGCTGCCTTTCCAGTCCAGGGGAGGTCGGATCTCTGTGGCCGGGACCGTCTTCCCTCCGGTCCAAAGTGAATGACAGCGTTGCAGCCGGCCTTCAAGAGTGTAATTAAATGATCCGAGATCTGGTTACGCTCATGACAGCTCACCGTGAATCCCAGCGGCCTCTGTGGGACTCGTCAGCATTTCTGCGGGATTCTCACAAAGGAGCCCCGCTAACTATTGCCCGCTAAGTACGAGTTAAACTGTTGTTTTAACTGAAAGCCGAGAGAATGCTGGGTGGCGTGGATTTTTTACGGATGACAGGCGAGTCCGTTCACTTTTTCTGTCACCATAAGATAGTATCTATGAGCCTTAGGGACCGAAGCAGAGACCAAGCACAGCGCGCTCTGGCAAAACAGGAAACCCAAAAGCCGTCGCGACACGGAACCAGGAGGTGCGGACGAAGTTGAACCACACAGCCCTGCGTTTTATTGTCCCAAACAGGAAAGAGTCACGGTCAGCTGACCCACTCAAAATAGGCAGCCCTGGGCAGGACGAGACGGGTCGGGCCACCACGGGGTGGGGGGGTCCAGTCACAAAATGACAGGGTGCACAGAAGCAACCGGGCTCCACCCACAGCTCTATGACATCAGCACCTCGACAGCACACCCAAAGGTGTCAGTGACGGATCTTCCCTGGGGAAAGCCCCTTTTTCAGGCAATGTGACTGAACCACCACGCCAGCAGGAACTGGGTGAGGCGAGATCACCTTGACAGGGTGCAGTCTGTCCCTAGTGACCTCTAGATAATCAAAGGAACAACCTCTTATCGGCGATGGTCGTTAGTCACTGCTTCACCTGCGGGCAAAATTGGCTACGAGCTCCGTGTTTCTGCAGAAGTCTCCGGCACCTGAGCGTGGAAACAGCCGGATGCGTAGACTCTAACTGCCCTTCATCCGGCCAACCCCTTCCGTCACGTGTTTGGTGAGGTCACACCCGGCCGGCGACCCCAACCGTGACTCGTACACGCCAATGCGGCAGGAACGCCACGTGCCACCCGCTGCCGATGGCACCCGGAGACGTGGCCCTTGGCTGACCTGCACTCGGCCAAATCTGCCTTTCCCACTTTAATGAGCGTGAGGGATTAATTAGGGTTAATGAGAGCTGATCTGCTTTGTGGATTACGATTTCAGATATTCAGGGTTTGGAGGGCGAGCCAAACTGAAAAGCTCCACGCTGCCTCGTGGACGAAAACGGCAGCGCTAGACTGAGCCAAGGGGCGCGAGACACTGGATGGAGGGCAAATATGAACGCGGGGTTAAAATGCTGGCAAATGGACCACAGCCACAGACTCGGCCGCTGCCAGAAGACACGCCCCCTATGGGCGATCGGCGGGACGTGTGGATGTCACATGCTGTCACTCTGTCAGATCTGGCTTTGCTGGACTCTCAAACACCCCCCATACACCCTGAACTACACAGGGAGCCATTAAACCAGTTCTTCAGCACATACTGAGCACCACCTTCCCCTGATCACCACATGGGGGGGAGTGGTTACCCCCAGAGGAGAGAGGAAATGAAAGTAGCAAGCGGAGGTGTTGGGCCCCTGGCTCTGTGACGCCCGTGTCCATGTTGGGCCGGTTACCTCATGTCCTCCAGAAGGTCACACTCGCTCTGGTGTTTGATGTGCAGCCGGGTCAGCTGCTCCACGTGAGTGTTCTTCAGCTCCTGAGTCACCTTTACCTGTGGGGGGGGGGGGGGGGGATGGGGGAGGAGATTGTGAGGCTGAAGATCCACAGTCACACACGGCCCTAACGTGGCAGAGTTCACTAGGGGCATATTTTACAACCAAACATTTCTGGGCAGTGATGTCAGCCCCCTTCCCCATTCTCTGGTTTTGATGATAACTCCACCGGACACACCCTCTCCACCAGCTGATAAACCACACTTTATAGGCTGCTGATTTTATCCACTGAAAATGGGAAGTCTAGTGGGAAACAGGGGGGGGGGGGGTTTAGCCATGACCGTGGCCTGTTTCCTGAACCCTCTTCATGTGATGGCAGGGGGCGGGGAGAGAGATGGACAGATAGACTATCAGGAATACGGGTTGCTGATAGGATGCTAAGATCAGGAGATGGGCACAGAGTCCAGCCAATCTGAGGCCTCCGCCTTCTCCTTTCTTCCTGCCCCATCCTCGTCACCCAACAAATCACTGTACTCAGCATTTTCCCATAATCAGCATGTCCCCTGGCTGCTCCGGCTGCCATCCCCGGGTCCCTACTCTGACCACACTGTTGCTTTAAAAGGTATTTTATACTCTCGTTGCACGTGACAGGAGGAAATCCATTAGAGAACCTCTAAACTGCACAGCAAGTAGGGGCTGATGTTACACAGTAGGATTAGGTTCAGCACGGCCGCTCCGTGCACCTGTGACCCTGTGGTGAGCCTGGAACCCACAGACATAGACACAAGCATGCAGACAGGTACTAAACATGACTTTTGATGCAAGATCAGTTGGATGGAGGAGAACAAGCCATCCAGGGCCACCAGAAATCCTGCCAGCTGCAGCATGAGGGTCTCACAGAGAGCTGCGCTGTAAATATTTAATGCAGACCCTCTTCCAGGTATCTAAATAAACTAAGCATGGTTCACAGCAAAGCTCTAGTAACATTCCAACCATGATTGCATAAGTCAGTAATTCAATCCAGGGTAGAAACCTTACAGGTCAAATGGAAAATAGGTTCAAAAAGCTTCATGGACATAAACGCACGGACATAGCGATCATTAATAATGAAGGTTATCTGTTGTGCTATGTTTTTTAATAATAATATGCCTACGTACTCCATCCAATCTCCTGACAGCACCGGCCAGCCCAGAAGCGGCAAACAGGTACAGCCATGTTGGTAAATTAATCAATGAGACAATAAGAGGCGATGAAAGCGGCGTGGAGCAACTGAGCCATTAAAGGCGTTTAACCCCTCAATTAAAGGGCTGATCGGTAACCAGAAGTGACAGGGACCGCATCCTCGCCCGCCGGGCGCGATCACCCACCGTCTTCTCGTTTATACAACATCAACGCATAAACACATGTCACCATTTAGGAGTCGCTGATCGAAGCAAACATCCCCAAGCTTTGTGAAAGCGTGCGGAATAAAGCCCCCTTACTCCGGTGGTGTGTAGACACATGAGGAGTGGTGATGGGGGAGGTAACGGGACACGGCTCGGTACTGGGCCGGGAAAGGAGGCGCCCGTTCGCTGCTCCTCGCTCCTTCTCTCCCTGTTTAATGTATATATTCTGGTTACTCTCCTGTTACCACGTCTCAGACGCCGCTTTGATCTCGTCATGTTTCCTTCCTCGGCTGTTACATTGTTCGCCCGTGACCCTCCAATCGGCTCCCCCCAGCAGTCCGCACTCGGCACCGCGACCCCTGGAGAAAAGGGGGCCCGAGACCACAAGGTGTCAGGAGGCTGGAGGGGCGCCGGAGACCCGGCGTGTGGAAGCCCGTCAGCCGGCTTGCAGTGCACTCCGGCGGGGCTTGCGGTTCGCGACGACGGCTAGTCTGGGGGGTGGTGCTGGGGGGACTAGTCGTGGAGCGAACCAAGCAGCCACCCGCAATCGCGAAATAATCGCCCGTGGTAACAAAAAAAGGCACGCGACGCTCGAGATCTGCTCGTGGGAGACAGCAGAGAAACGCCTCGCGGGTCACTCCGCGCGCAGACGGAGGTCCGGTCCGATCCGGGCCGGAGGGGGGGCAGGGAGGAAAGCTTACCTTTCTCGGCGGGGGCTGCATGTTGGAGCACTGACATGAATGGTAATAAATCCCGTTTAAAAAAAAAAACAGCGAAGAGCGGAGGAAGCCGCGGGGGTGTCCCCCGAAGCGGGAGCGGAGGGCTGGGCGAAGACGAGCAGTTACGCCGAAGTCCGAGCTCACTCAGGCGGCCATGACTCTCCGACTCCGGGCAGACTCCGACTAACACTGCGGCGGAAAGAAAATAAGAGACGGGGCTGCAAGCGGGAGCCCAGCGGCTTTCCGGCGAGCGACGGCCCGATGGCGACGCGCTGCGGCGGCCCCTCGGACGCTCCGCGGGAATTTGCTGTAAGACGGGAGCGCAGCGCCCCCTGCGGGCCGTCCGGGTCCGGCTCACGGCGCCAGGGGGGGAGGATGGGGGGCTGCGTGTCCAGAATCGCACAGCAACAAGGAACTGCAACCGATGGAGGGAGGAATCGATGGGGAACGGCATTGGCAGTCGATCCCAAACACACCGATTGCTCTTGTTATGCACGTTTATTGTTATGATAGAGAACAGAAACAATGCAAAGAAGAATGCATTCATTTCAAAAATGCATTCAAACGTGACCTATGTCAGGTATTATGGAACACCCATTAATTAGACAAAATTAATTAATTTATCCAATTTTCAACCACTTATCTTGGTCACAGGGGACCCAGAGCATATCCCAGGCATTATAGGGCAAGCAGCAATATATGTAAACTACATACACACAGAGCAGAGATAGGATTTGAACCCAAATGGTAGAAAGAAATGTGTATGAAATGTAAGGTGTAAATCTTACGCGAAATTATTAATTCCTCTGTGGGACACTTAAGTTCTTAAGTGTGACCACACAACGTCCCACCCAACTGTTTGGCTCAAAGAACATAAGAACATAAGAACATAAGAACTATACAAACGAGAGGAGGCCATTCGGCCCATCGAGCTCGCTTGGGGAGAACTTAACTAATAGCT